CTAATGTTAAATATTTTATAGAGATATAAATTTACTTTTTTTTTTTTAAATCATTTTTGCCATCCTTTATATAAAATAGGACTTAAAGGAGTTTTTTCTGGTGATGAAAAGTAAAAATTTCCACAGTGCAGAGGAAGCTAATACCGGTTTTAGCAGATACTATTCTGTATAATTTAACAAAGATCATTGCTAAATTTGTGGCTGCAGCGGTAACAAATTTAGCAATTATCTTTATCATTGCTAAATGATAACAAATAATGATAATTTGTAAATAAATTATAAATGAACACAAGTCAGTTGGGATTATTTCTACAAAACGACATCACTTAAATGAGAATATCCACTATCATTAAAAATATTTAGAAAATTATTTTAGGTATGTTTGAAGAGCTGGATTAGAGGTCCAGCTGACTGAAGGTCTTCAGCCTCGACATACATGGATTTAGCTTGGTAACACCTGGAAAATCAACAGTCTAACATTACCTGCGTTGTCTTAATAATGGTTTCCCCCAGTTACAAACATAAAATGGTGCTTTTTTCTGTCTAACGCTCTGAAGATTGAATCTACTGTTATCTACTTTAGACAACTGTGGTCAATAACCAAAAACTGATTGTTTTTGTTGCATTTAAAATAACAATTGCTTTTTCTCTCAAAGCACAAGACGAAGAAGAAGAAGAAGAAGAAGAAGAGGAGGAAGACGAGGAAGAGGAAGATGAGAATGAAGAAGAGGAGGATGATGAGGAAGAATCTGAAGAGAAGGAGCTAAAAAAGATGGAGGAGCAAAGATCTCAGGGGAAGGTGAGAAATGCCTGCTCTTGTGTTGTTCTTTTCCTCCCTGATTTAGTTCTGCTTTTTTCGGTTTTTGATCCTCGCTGTCCTTCTTTTTAGTCTCTCAATGTTAAAGTGACGCCCGGAAAAGTGAAGGTGGAAAATGCCGCTCGCTTGGAGCAGGAGGAGAAGGCGGAGGAGAAACGTCTAGCCATCATGATGATGAAGAAAAAGGAGAAGTACCTCTATGATAAGATCATGTTTGGAAAAAAGAGAAAAGTCAGAGAGGTGAGTTTCAGTGTGCTTTTATTTCAATGTTTAAATTCTCAAGTCGATAAGACTGTTTAACCACGTAAAACAGAAACATTGTTCTGCTTTCTATCTCTGTGTACCTTACTGTCAGTGCTGAGCTTTAATCTAAGAATGTTTAACCTGTTTATAAAGCACTCAGGCTGAGCCCTAACCCCTTCAGTTCACTGACCCTAAAATGCTTGTGAAACTGGTGCTGAGAATTGTTTTCATTAAATCCGGTCAATCTCTTTAACAGGCGAACAAGCTTGCTGCCAAGAGGAAAGCCCATGACGATGCTGAGAAAATGAAGAAGAAAAAAGCAAGAAAATAAATCCTGTAACAATCTTAATGTGGACCTGACTTTATGTATAAAACCTGATGAGTTGGAGGTTCAGGTTGGCATTTTATGAAACTTGTATCCAAACAGTAAAGCCTCTGTTTGGTGGCTTTGACATTGTGTATAAATGTATATGGATCATGGAGGCTCCATATCCTGACTGTGGTGTTATTGGTTTAAAGCTTTCAGCCTTTGTTGTTAACTGTAAGATATACACCTCTATAATGTAAAACTTTGTTTCCTTTAAATCTCTGTATTAAAAAAAAAAAAACAGCGGACATTTTAAAGTAAAAACCATATCCAACTTCTCAAAAATCTTTTGTTTCTTAATGTATGTTTTTTTTATTATATTTTTTGTCATTTTGTGACTACCTTTACTGCTTGTAGTTTCTATAAAAAGTGTAACGCTAGATGGAGATGCATCGATCTGATAGCAGATATATATTTATCACCAGTGATGGGACTAACGGCGTTACCTTGTTTTAGTAACGAGTAATCTAACTAATTACTTTGACTGTAACTATAACGCAGTTACCATTGCAGACACCCCGTTACTGCGCGTTACTCAGGTCGCACAATGAACCTTTTCTGGACTTTCCGGACTCGTGCGCAGCTGCGTGAAGCTGACACCCCACCCACGTCAAAAAACTCTGCAAATAGACTGAATGGTTAGTGCAACGTTAGTGCAGATTTGTGCAGAAAAAAAATATTGTTTGTGCTACTTTTGTTTAAGAGATATTAAAGATTATTTTTTAGGTCATCCAGACGTGCGCGCCTTGTCATGAGAGAGGGGAGGATGAGAATGGCTGATGTATAGTGAGATTCCGTCTGTCAGTTGGGTAGATGGGTGTTTCCGCTGGTGGGTGTTAAGGTACAGAACACAGAGAGATGGAGAGTGAGGAGGACTCCAGCAGCAAAACAGCGTTTTCCAGATGGAAATACCGGTGTTACGTCAAGCTGTGTTTCCCCATCACATACGGTTTCCCCTGCATCTCCGCACAGCGCAGGTGGCACGAGTCACCGCGCAAGCAACAGGAAACGCGCATGCTCGCGCAACAGTTGCCCTGTGCTCGCGCCACAGGAGAACTATGGAACGATCAAATGAAAGGGAGAAATCTGGATGGATGGATGGATGGATACTCTGCCTTTTCAACCTACTGTATTTTTTATTTTAAACATTATTTGATGGCCTTTGTGGCAGGGATGGAGATTCATATTTTATGTCACACGCAGAGTATACATCTTGATAGATGGATAGATAGATGTTGCAGTATCTATAACAACCCAAACACAGGATTTCAGAATTAGACATCCCCAGTTATTAATTTCATATACTCACCAGATCTGAATGCCCTGTTAAAAAACTTCACATGGCGTTCCCCCTGATGTCATTTAGGTTGAGTTGCAATAAATGCAAAACTCTCTGCAGGTTCTTGTTTTTGTCGTCCACTCTATTCAGCTGGCTTTGGAAACACACTGCGAGAAGGTGGGGGCCGGGTGGTGAGGGTTACGGGGGTGAGAAACGCAAAAGTAACGCAATAGTTACTTTTACTAGTAACTAGTTACTTTTATTGTGGAGTAACTCAGTTAGTAACTCAGTTACTTTTTGGGAGAAGTAACTATAACTAATTACTTTTTCAAAGTAACGTGCCCAACACTGTTTATCACACACAGCAATATAGTTGCAGTGATCTAGTGTCTTCAATTTTATGATAGCAGCTTGGGCCTGGCAAATAATAGCATTTGCAAATTTAGCAGTCTGCTAAATTTTAGTCAACTTTTACTAGAGTAAGACACCCCCCCCCTTTGGGTGGTAGTAATAGGTGTAAAGTGGGTTGGTTGCCAAACAGATCAGGGGGAAGGACATGAAGCTTCTACGCAAATTCAGGCAAATGGAGATACTTTTTCACACAAAGGTTACAGTAAAGCCCTGCGACAATGGACTCTGGACAAGCAAGCTTTCAAAGTCATGAAAACACTCATACCTTGAAATGAAACCTCTACATGGTTGTGTTTGGTGCAAAGGAAAATTACAATTTAGAGTTTTGGTAAAATCACTCAGCCTTGATTGAAACACTTCTTAGATAATCGCACACAGCAGCTAGTGATGGGTTAATGTCTGTCAACCACAATGCCTTCACTCACATGGTAACGAAAACGGTTCAGTAGTATCAGATTGGAATCAGGCAATAGGTTCAGCCCATATATCTGACTGAATTGGGGGGAAAAAAGTGGATCTCTTATTCTAGACAAATTTTATGATTTTCTGATCTTGGCAATTCTGGGAAGAGAAACGGTGTGGTAAAATCTCAGTTTTCTAAAACCTAAGATTAAACCACTTGAAATGTGATGATGGGTTTTTTACATTTCTGCCACCAGAATAAAGCAACACATCCAGAGCGCTGCATTTAATCCTTTATAGGGCACTCAGACAAATACTTTGAAAATCAAAATTCCAAGCCGACAGTGTTACTGGAATCCAGTAGAAGACCTTATTACCATTTGTAAGGGGCATGCAAGTGATCAAAAAACGGTAACTTAAGTAGAAATATTTGCCAAATTTTTAAAAAGGCACTGATAAAGCATACAGATGCCATAAAAAAACGCAAAAACTCAAAGCCCTTTTATGCCTCATGTTACCTAATTTTGGGCACATTTCCAATCAATCACTGATTTAGATCATTATCTGCCCTACAAGTCATTCAATAGTATGAGTACCGGTAGTTGAAAAGTGACGGACCCTGAAGTCATTACCTGCCAGCTGCTGATTGTGAATAACCTGGTTATATAAATGGTAACCTGGATAATCGGAGTTATGGAGTCCAAATAGTGAGGTCATTCACTCTGGGGGAGAAAACAAGATTAAATGAAGGGTGGTTCTTATTTAAAAATAATGGAGCTAGGTAGAATGAATAATTCATGTTCAATGCACATTTAATAAAACTGGGAAATGTATAAACAAAAGTGAATAAAAATATTTAAGTTGATTTAGGAATAGCCAGTTTGACAACTACCATGTGGATTTCACATAAAATATGCTAATGTTGATGCAACCACCCCAAAACTGTGGTAATTTAATTGGTGCCTTAAGATAACCTAAATGCATGTATTAAACACATATTTCTCAATTTTGTATTGGCCTAATGTAATTTTCTAATCTTAATGGTCATACTTTTATGAACCATAAGAGCATCTTTTTATACATATAGATATACTATGTATGAAATTAATATGTATTTAAACTGTTTTTTTTATTATTTTTGTTTAAATGCCTTGAAGCAACTTTTGTTGTGAGTCAGGGCTATATTAATAAACTGCACTGATTCACAGGGAAGCTACATCTCTGGGAAATTCCCAGAATATTTTTTTGGATGGAAATTAAAAAAGAGGAGCAAAAAGAATCGAGCTTTACTCACATAATCAAACTATCATTTGTTAGTGTAACTGTAGAAAAAAAATTTGCTGAGCAAGTAATTATCAAATGCATCTAAAACTATACTTGTTTGTCTTTGGATTAATTGAAGCTATTTTGAGGTGGGATAAATTTCAAACATTTATCTCTAAAGCAGTAAAGAGTAAGACTTTGACCTGAGATGCATCCATGCCAAAGCACAAGCAGTCATTTTATTTTATATCAATATGAGCCAAATGACAAAACATCTTTGATAACAGTTGGTTATAAAACCTATTTGCAGTTTGTTACCATGCCCTTTGGTTTCACCAAAACAAAAAAATCACCTAAGGTTATGTAAAAAAAAAAATAAAGGTACGTGTTCTGTTACATTGCCTCTTGAAATTTAAAGTACATTTTAAAGATAACCTCAAAGCAGATGTTAAACACATCTGATTAAACTTATATATATTTTTAATATATTTGATCTGATGCATTGTTCTGGATATAATATTGATTTTTTATTAACTGTAAGAAGAGAATCCATTAATACAAATAAAGACTCAACAATATCAGTCTGTACTTCATTTATATAATAAACTGGACTTTCCTATTAAATTGCCTTAAGCCACTTCCTGTGAGTTGGAGCTAAATAAATAAACTGAACTGAATTCATAACAGGTAAGCTAAATCTTTGGAAAGCTCCCTGAGCTTTTGGCTTTATGGAAAGAAAGGTAATGGGTTTCTCTATAAATATATGTAATTACAGATTAAACAAGTAGGTAATTGTAAGCAGATCAATGTGTAGGAACACTACTCAGTGATTATTTATAAAGATAAACCATCACATAGTCCTGCTTCTCCTACAGCTGTACACAGATGCTAAGAAGACGCACTAGATGAACAGAGTCCCCACCAGGTCAGTGGGCTGAGCCTGACGTCATTGTACTTCTGCTGTTGTTAGAACTCATTGATTTGTCTGCGTGAATAACAGTGGGTATCAGTGACGTTTAGGGATCAGGCCTTCTGCCCTCCAATGAGCTGCACATTCAATTCTCCTCAGTTTACTTACTCTCTTCACACCCAGCTCTGCATTCCATGCATGCCCACTCAGTTCTGGCCTGGACTTAGAAATTGGTGGGGGTGCTTGGAGGATGTTGAACAAATGCATGCAGTGTTGTGCACTAGCTTGACTAATGTGGGATGAGCAATATAGAGTCTGTCTTCTAGGAACCCAAGCCTCATGAAAAGGAAAATGGAGTCGGGGTGTATTGGCATTGTGGTTGCATGTGGCAAAATGAGTCCATGCACAACCAAACAGGTTCATCAGTCACAGTGAAATACTTATCCTCCACTGAAGTACTACAGTCCTACATAAGTCATATATAAAAGCAGCATCTACACATGTTATGTGTATATCTCTTGCGTATTAGAGCTCATACAATGCCTTGCAATAACATTTATACTCCTGCATTTTGTTTTAAGATATTTTTACCGCAATAACATCATTACTCAATTAGCCAGTAAGCTGAGATGGTTAGAACGTGGTGCTAATAAGGCTAAGGTCGCCCCGTATAGGCCAATTGCTTGGAAAATGGTGGCCTGATGTGATGAAAAAAAATAAAAATAAAATTCTATTCTATTCCTTTCACTGCAAATACAAGTTGACTATTTGGGATTTTAATCAGGAAAATTGGTCTATTTTGAAACTGAGATTGCTTTGGCTTTTTTTTTTTTTTTTTGCAAAACAGCTCAAGCAACAGTCAAAATATTTAAGGTACACCACAAATTTCTAATCTAACCACAGGTTCTCAGTTGGAGAACCTGTGGATCTGGGTTTGACTGGGCTCTTTAAAGACCCTTGGTGCATTCATCTGCACCCAGAGTCTATAACCTTTATCACTCAGTTTCAAACAGCTGTGTGAGGGTTTTTAAAATCAAAATGTGGATGGTACTCTATTTGTTGCGTTTAAAAATAATGCAACAAATTCCTGCAGTACAACTCCAATAATGAATATTTGTTATCTACACCATTTCCCAGCTTTGTGTTTTTAAATGTTCCCATTTTTCACTCTTAAGTAAAGACAGGTTTTAATAGTTCAATCTTTCAGGAACATCCTGCAGTTAGCACCATCTACCCTCAGCTCTGACCAGCGTTCCGCTCCCTGCTGAGTATGCTGATGGGGCCACCACCATGGTGGGCAGTGGAGATGATGGATTCAGCCTAATGTGCAGCGCCATTTGTTTTCCCCAAGATCTTCAGCTATGGTTTTTATCTGTACAACAGCTGTGTTTGTAATAAGATTAAATTGCAGACAGAGGGACTGTTGGACTGTTTGCTTTTTAGGTGTCCTAATAGGGAAGTTGGTTACACAAAATTGTATTTAGGAATAATAAAACCTTGTGAGAAACAATATACATCATATCTTAATTTAAAAAAGGAACTATCAAATGGATAAGCACATAAACCGTTAAGTGAAACATGAAAAGCTTCCCCTTGGAGAAGGTATATACATAGTATATACGTGTTCGTGTTACATGCTTCTTGTCAGTACACACAATATGAAAACCTTCCTTCAGATGACCGAGAGTGGTTTAGAAACTCAGATCAAGAGTGAGGGAGGCTTAAGTCATTTGAACAACACACAGTCCTGATTTTTTGAAAGATGCTCTCAAAAAAAAAAAAGAAAAGAATAAATGTTTTTGGGGAATTTGAGACAGTTCATGAAGTGTGGTAACTTCAGTGTGGTAGCCAGGTCCTGTGTAAACAGAAATATATCAGGATTTCATTTATTTAAAAAAATATTACTAACCAGTTTAAACAATGAACACTTATAGTTAGGATGTCAGCTTTTACACATTACTGTGACATCGGGGACCAGGATGTGATCTTCCATATATTCTTCTGATCAAGATACAAGATGTGAAGGCAGTTCTTTCTATTCATCCTACCACATCCAGAGCTTCAGCTTGCTAAATAAGCATCTGAGATAGCAGACAGTGCAGTCTTGATCAGCTGGAACAATTAGGGCCTTCATGCTTTGGATTTCTGCATTTATTCTTTTTCTGCCTTTTTTCTCCCCTCCTATCAGCAAGCTGCTCAGACTTCAGTGTCCACAATCAATGGCCCTCTGTGTGTTGACACAGAATAGGGACTATATACAGCCTCTCCCTCCCCTCCCTCCCTCCTGCTCACTCTCCCTTCCCTCCTTCTTCTCTTTTCACGCTCACTGACTTGTGCATGTCCCCTGACAGAAAAACTCTGACGTCACAGGTGGCTAGATGAGCCTCCCTGCAGTGCCTTATTCAGCAGGAACAGTTTTGGAATTGAAAAGTGGAGGGAGGCGGTAAAGGACAGCACAGAGGCATCAGGTGTGCAGGCAGAGAGACGGGAGGAAAATGAGAAGCAGACGAATTAGAACTGGGGATTTGGACATATGATGAGAAGAGCACAGGAGTCAGAATGAGTCTGTTAGGATCAGACACACTGGGAGCCTTAAGAATAGGATTAGCATCATCTGGAGCTGGACGCGGAAAGAAAATTACAACTTCACTGCTTTTTTGGGGGATACATTTATAAGGGTAAGAATTATATATTATATTATAAATTTTTTTTTGCTTTCAAATATGATGCTACTTTTTAGGCTGTCAATGCATGAAATTTGGACGTACTTTGGACATACATTGTTGAAGCAATATTCATCTATTTTGATTACCACAAAAAAGTATGGTAGGTTTCATAGGTATGGTAGAGTTTTGACAAAATCTGATTAACAAGATTTGAATGCCTCAGGATTAAAATAACTTAATTAAAACAACCCCCCAACCACAAACACACACACACACACACACCACCACCACCACCACCACCACCGCCCAACAGGTGAGAGAAACTCCCTTGTTACTTTTTTGTTTTTACCCTGGGACACAACTGTGTAGTTAATATTTAATCCAAGAGGTCATCAATTCTGTTGATCAAATGTTGTCATTAGAACCCTGCTATTATTATTATAATTATATATATATTTTTTTTTATCACAGCAGTAAAGAGTAGACTTTGAACTGAGGTGCATCCATTCAAAAAGCTGGCAGACATTGCAGTTTGAGTTAAGTGCAGGCTTATAACAGAACATTCTTGATAACAGATTATGTAACCTATCATCAGTTTGTTACCATGCACTTTGCTTTCAACAACCAAAAAAATAAAACTGTAGACAATTTACATATATATATATATATTACTTTTTCAGATTAAAATGACCTTTGACAACAACAAATTTAAGGCAGAATTTAATATACTTTTTATTGAGCATTTATTTCTGTATATATTTATTTTTCCGTTGTAATATTCGGAGGCTAAGTAACAGGACATTCATAATATTTGAGGGAAAAAGTCCAAGTCAACCAAATATTTTTCATACAACCAGCATTTCTCTGGTGAACAACTTCTAAATTATTATCTTTTGTCTGTCAAGAGACTTTATAGAAAAAAAATATCATGAAATGAGTTCTTGAAAATGAAACTGAAATGTGATTATTCTTGTAGTATTACAGCTGCGGTTATAGTTCACTTTATGTTAGTAGCATAAAGTTTTACATGTATTTTTTTTCTAAATTATTGGGGTAATAGAAGAATTATAGAGTCCTTTTTAGCTCCAGTCAACCTGAGCCATTAAAGCCAGAAGGTTGCGTCGTGTTTATATGCATGGTATCCTCTCATTGAGCAAGAAAAATAAGAATCTTAGGATAAAAGCCTTACTCTTTAAACAGCATTAGAACAAGCTTCTTCAACAGTAAAGTAACACTATTAATAATGTAGAACTATTTAGTTGGTAAGATCAGAGTTTGTTGAAAAAGATACTTAAAATATCAAAATCTAAATACTGTTTTCCTGTAGAAGATTTTCCGGTCTCAATCGAGGGCAACATTTTTCATAGATACTCGGAGGTGAACAGAGGAAACTAAATATATGTAGAATTAGTTTAGTTTAACATGAAAACGCTTTTTTAAATTGAGTTGGAGGTAAAATTCAGAGCGGTCTTTGGTGAGTTTAGAATTAGATCATGTAGATCGGTGCGGGCTGTGATGATGTCTGGTCTTTGAGATTTACACAGGTAGCTCAGTGTTTGAAAGACCCAAGATTCAGGAATTGTGTTTGAAGCATTTTTCAGTCTATAGGTGGAGGGATGACTGGCTGATGGATTTATATAACGGTTTGAACATCAAAATCTGCGCTGGTTTTCATAAAATACAGGGAAAAGTCTTCTCTAAATGTACTCCTGAGAGGAACTTTGAAGGTTAAAAAGTTTACTCTGGATATTATTAATTTTATTTTATCCTACAATTCATTTGGGCCACTTCAGTTTAAGTAATATAGATCATCCATGTCACATAATAAAAACATTTAAACTTGACCATGGTGTTTACTACTTCAAGAAGCTAAAAAATAAAAATAAAAAAAGCAGTTTTACTAGACCCAACTTAAGGAGTAGAGTAAAAATTCAGGTCAACATATTCATACACTTTTTTGAAATTGAGTCTGTATTTCTGAGTGGAAAAAAATGGGCAGATAGCATAAAGTTGTAGGGATGGAATTGATTTAAAATAATTAGGGAGTACATCCAATGTAGTTTACTGATATAAAAACGTATTTTACTTTATGCTAAATATTTTGCTGAGTTTATTGCAGTTATCCATTATTCCCAGAAATAATAGTAAATTAACTTAAAAAAAAAAACAGTGTTTGAAATATTTAAAATAGTTATGGTTTGTTTTAGAAACTGTTTTAGAAACAGCCAAAATATGAGATTAACGTTTGACTGGTTACCTTATTTGCCCTCTGTTATGATAACATTATCCGGTGAATTAAGTGCAGGTCGATCAAAGTTAATAAACAAGTGTGGCATATTTCTTACAAAAAACAGCTTTGCTTAATCTCTTTATTATAGTCTTTAAAATACCATAATTTGCAAATAACTAAACATTTTCCTCAGTCCTTATATAATAAATATCAGTTATAATCAGTCAATACTTTAGTAGCCTTTTACCAAATAGTATTTGCTCTTACTTGAGTAAAAGTATGATGAAGTTGTGTCAGTCTTGAGTTACTTGAGTAGTTTTTTTGGTGCTCCATCCACATATGTTACATCTATATCATTATATCTATTAAGAGATCAAATCCTGATTATTGGCATTAGCTACTATACATACAGTAGATCAATCAAAGGCTCTTCAAATTTGCTGTGGGATATTTAGAACATCACCCATTATAGCATTTCAAGATGCAATGGGGGAAATGCCTTTAGAACTTCAAATAATTAAACAAATGTTCATAAATTGGGTTAATAGTAAAGGACAAGTCCAATAATACAACAGCTAAACTGAAAATGTCTGTTTTACTTTATTTCCAACATCCCTGTTAACTATTTTTAACAGACATTTTTAGTTTTGGGTGGATTAACAATGGGCTGCACAGTGCCTTGCCTTGCAGCAAGAAGTTTCCGGTTTTGATTTCCGACCCAGGGTCTTTCTGCATGGAGTTTGCATGTTCTCCCTGAGCATGCCTGGGTTCTCTCCGGGTACTCCGGCTTCCTCCCACAGTCCAAAAACATGACTGTTAGGTTATTTGGTTTCTCTAAATTCTCCTTAGGTGTGAGTGTGTGCATGGATGGTTGTTTGTCCTGTTTGTCTCTGTGTTGCCCTGTGATGGACTGGTGACCTGTCCAGGGTGTACCCCGCCTCTCGCCCAAAGACAGCTGGAGATAGGCACCAGCACACCTTGCGGCTGCAGCTGGAATAAACCGTGACAGAAAATGGATGGATGGATAAATTAACAATTTTAAAGCTCAACATGCTGGGTTATAGGTAATAGATTTACGTTCAACAGTGCCTTAATTGTGTATTCTTTACTGGTTAGTTATTAATCCATCTGTTGATCTGTCTTTACATAAATGAATAAAAATATAAGCTTTTTAGTACAAAAATAGCTTCATAAGACACATATAGGTGGGGATTGTTGGCCTAGTGGTTAAAGCAGTGTGATTGTTCACTGAGAAATTTGCAAATACCCGTGTAAATCCCCACTTGTTTGCTTTCTTGGTTCCTGAGCAAGACCTTTAATCAAAGATTGCTCCCCAAGCGCTGCACAATGGCAACCCACAGCTCCTCAAGGGAATTTCTCAAGTGTGAGATCAATAAAGTTCAATTATAATTCAATTATTATTCCTATATAGGTAGACTAAATATTAACAGATGGCTCAAAACATCCTGAATTAGGATACTCTGGATGAGTTGTTTATATCCTTCATCTTAATGTAGGAATGTGGAAAAGCACAACAGATGATTTATCAGTGTATTCAGTTTAATTAGAGGCAATAACCTTTACAATAGATATAAACAGAATGATCAAATATATGTAAATACTGAGAGAACAGTATCCTTATTAAGTATGAAAGATGTTATTTACAACGTTTGTTTTATTTCATATAGATTAGATTTAAGGAAAATATCAGCCGAATTTGTTTGGGTTCCAGATTATGTGGGAATGGAAGGCAATAAAGACTTCCTGGCTTTACAGACTTTAAAATCTAAAAATGTAGAGTATGTGATGCCTTCAGGTAAAGATGAATTTAAAATGATGATAAATACATATATTAAGAAACGTGTAAAATAAGTAATATGGGCATTCACTTTTATAACATTGGAAAAATGCAGGAGTAATAAGGAGAACAGGAAGAAATAGAAAACTGGAAGTAATAATGATACATGTTGGTTTAATGCAATGCCTTCCTGTTTCTCTGAAACACCTTCCCGTTCCACTGACATGCCTTCCTTCTTTTACCTTATTTCTAATAAAACAATATGAACCCACCAATACAATTATACATAAATGTGTAAAATGAAACATTAAGTAGCTTTCAGTTAAGACAAATAGCTTTCTTAACAAAAGTGCCAAAAGGCATTAATGTACATTTAATAAATGAACTGCTAAATTATAAAAAAGCTTTAGAGTTAGAGTTGAACTATATTGTAATCCACAGATATCTTTATTAATAATAAGGACAAGAGTAAAATATTTCCTAGCAGTGCTGACACTTTCATAGTAAGTTTACCAAAGCTCTGCTGAAATACGTTTTTTCTTTTTGTAAAAGAGAAAAAACTTAAACCTTTTTCCAGAATGAATACAAAGTGTCAATAAAAGAACTGTTGACTGCATTTTAAGGCAGCCTCAGCAATAATCAGATAAACCGCTTGGCTCAGATGGTCCAGCTTACAGGGAGGAAGACCCTGAAATCTGTTTTAGTCAAACTTTTGACTATTTCTTTTTGTCTATATCTAGATCAGATAAGTTACTCATAAAAATTTACAACTGTACACATAATTTTTTCCTAGGTCGCTCTGAAAGGCTTGTTTGAGCCATACTTGTTTTAAACTAAGATGAATGTTTCTGCACTGCAGGAACAAAACAGTTCTGTTTAATTAAAGCGTAATTACTGCCACGCATTTAGCTGTAAATATAAAAATAAAAAGTTTTCATAAACCCAAATAGAAATAATTTTTTTTATTTCTGGTTATAATAATACAATGGAGGCAATCCTCCATTTATCCTTCTACATATATTTATTAATAACACTCTGTTAAACTGCTAACTACACTTGCCTCTTTAAAAGAAAAAGTATTTTTTCTAATGACCTTTATTATTTTCTTTCTTCAAATTGCTGGGATTATATTTGTTTCTTTTTCTCTAGAATGGATGAGGAGATAATGCTCACTAATTACTGTAACAATGACCTTTCTTTTTTTAACTAATTCTTTGTCTTCTGTTTATTGATTTTTTAAGTATATAATTTATCATTTTGTTTGACCTTCTTTTTATTCAGCTGCTTCATTTAATTCTTATCTTTTTATCTCTTAAAAGGTGAGGGAATCAACACGTCCAGCCAATGCTCCAGTTTGGCTGAAACTACTCATGCAGAACGAAAGATCCTTCGGAAAGACATTCAAAATTCACACTGACGTACAGACAGAAAAAAGTAATAAACTTACAAACACTTAACATTTTTACTGAAGTAAAAAACTACATTAACTCTTTTTTCAATGTGTTTATTTATGTGTAATGGCTGGCATTTTTCTATATTAAGTCCTGAGCCTTTACTGGGCGAAACAGACAGGGAGTTGGTTTTGGAGGAAGTTAAGGCAACCGTTAGGCTGGAATTTTTATTTGTGACTGAAAAGATAAGAGAGATATATGTCATAAATGACTAATTAAGGTTGGTGAGTTCATTACTCATCAATATAACCATAAAGATATAAAAAAAAAAGGGTCTGGATTATGTTCTATCTGATCGGAAAAATACACTCATATTTATACATATAAAAAAAAGAAGTATGTGTTCCAAGGCTCTTCCGTCAGATTAAAAGTACCTTTTCAAAATAAAATATTAAACCAAGTATTAAACATACTACTCATTTCTGTGTTACAATTGTTTTTATGTTAAGCTAACAATTCTACATTTATCTTATTTTAATTAACTTAGGAACAGAGAACAATTATCAAATTTATCAAAAAAATAAAAGCTTGAAAATATCACTATCAGTGTGTTATTTATATATTTTATATATTCATCTAACCTTGGACATAGTTTAAATTTAGACATCACTCTTTATATATAACACACTTTAACCAAGAAACACCTGCCATTTTTTAAAATACAGCACAACTGTTAAGAGTTAATTAAGATGCAAATACTATTTTCTCATCAACCAGGGTTTTTATTCTAGGTCAGATTTAATCTAGATCTGTTTTTTAAACAGTAGAAAATCCAGATTTCTATCAAAAACATGCTCGCCTTTAAAAAAAAAAAAAAAAAAAAATGCAGCAATTTAAGCAACTCATTTAATATGGACCTGCATTAATTTTTCTTTTAAAAGGCACCTTTAAGGTAGAAATCAACATTTATCCAAACTACAATGAATAGAAATAGTTAATTAAGGTGATTTAGGTGATCATAATCTCGGAAGAGATTAAATACAAGTGAAGAAAGCGTATCCTTGAAACTGGAGAAAGGGACATATTAACTAAATATAAAACTCATCAATGGATTATTTATCAAATAATTATCCTTCTTCAATGAGCATAAATTGTGTAATACAGTATAGCTTCACATGATATTTAGAAGTTTAAAGCTAAACCAATAACATAACTGTAGGTTATTATAAACGTAGGCTTTTTGTACTGTTTTATCCAACTTGCCTTACCATTACCTAAATTAGCTGCTTTAGAATGTTTAAAATCAGGACTTTATTCCAGCAATAATATTCAGATCTATTATGGCTCAGTGTTGATGAGACATTTTTAATTGTTGCCTGCTGTCCAATAAACAACAGGTCACTTGATACGTGAGGTACTGGTTGTATGTAGTGTTGCTCCTTAGAAATGTATCCTACTGTTTATTTTACATTTAAGCAGTAAAATTTATTTCAAAGTTTTCCTAAAAACAGTTAAATGAATTTTATTTTAATGTATAATTCTTATTTAGAAAGAAAAGAAAATGCATGTTTTATTACCTGTTCACTGAAAACCACCTTTTTTAATAAATTTCAATTAAACTAATTTCTAATAATATCTCTTTGTGACACATTGATGAACAAGATGCTCAGATTCAGCTAAATCATATCAACCTTTTCATTTTCCAATGCAGTAAAAAGTTGCACAGATTTTTTTTACAGGTATATGAAATATGCATGCGTAAGAAATATTGTGGTAACAAGCTTATGTTACCACCAAAGGTTTCCTAGCTTAACTTTGCCTTAATCAAGTCAAAATAAAAGGCCCTTTATTCAGTATTTGCTTCCAACATTTTGTTGAACCAAACAAGATAGTTTACTTTTGTAGTATTTATTTTTAATAAAACCTTTTTTCCTTTGGAAAAGTAAGTCAAATCTGAAAACAAAGCCATATGTAGAGTATTTACCAAATCCTAGTTCTATGACGAAGTCCTCTAAAGCGGTACTTTTGGTGTCATGAGTGTGTTTGCTAAGTCAGCAGGTAGCTCACCTTACCAGCCTCCAGGACAGATCACTATATCATTTTCCACTGTAGTGCATTATTTATTCTTTGATAGGCAGGACAAGGCTTTTCATTTCAAGACACAAGCACCATATATTCTTTTATAAACTTTGGCGAGTGTCAATAATTTTATGGTCTACCTTATGCCTTTTGCCTGAGGGGCACCAGGTGATATTAAGCCGTTGGAGTTCCTGCCTACAGAGACAGCTGAATGTAAAAACGTGAACTGTGAGTTCATGTCCCACCTGCTGGCTCATGTTCCTGTGCAGCTTCAGTTACAATCCATGGTGGTACTACACTCCAAAACAGATTACTTTGTATTGTGTGGGGTTTTTTTTAAGTTGTATTATGATTTATTGATTTTAACATGAAGTGATTTTCAAGTTATGTTTCCGCTTAATGCCATTTTTCAAAAGTGAGAAAATCTTTAGTCATCTATCCTCTTCTTCTTTGCTATAACAATGTAATTTTTTTCTCCAGACGGTTATGGTTCTGTTTCAGGACGTTCTGAAACCAGAGAACTGAGATTGCACTGAGAGAACCGTGGAGTCACTTTCTAATTAAATCTCCAGAGAAGGATCTGAGTTAATTATTTAGAGTGGCGTCATTGTGTGCTTCAGCCTCATACTCTATTAAGTTTAATCACTTCAGAAAAAAGTAAAATTTTTGAAGTCAAAGCTTTTTGTAACATGAGAGTATGAAGGAAAAACAGCATGATGGATTATAACCTATTAAAATGTCATTACTGTCTTTAAGTAGAGTCTTCACCTGCTGAACCATGACTGGTAAGCAAGGGGGACAGTGGAGGTCCATGTACAAACGCCTCATCCTGGGAACACTTCTAACAGGCTGTATGATCCTGCTTTACTGCTTCTCCATCCAACAGATCAACTTCAACCCTCCTGAGTAAGACTTTCTGTGCCCACCTCTGTTTATTTGATAAAAAAAAGTTCTAACTACAGCCAGGCCAGTTCAAGCCTTCCACACAGTTTCAAAAAACATTTTTCTTTAAATCAGTTTAGTCAAGATGAGTATTTTTACATAGGTTCTAAATCCCTATGTTTTAAAATATATGTTTTTTGCAGCAGAGTTTGAAATCTGACAACTTGGCTCTCAATGATCTGTACTTCAAAGTTGCATCTTTTGATTAATTTACATTGCCTCCAAGGAAATATACAGCTTTCAAACCTTTCTAAAAAAAAACAGGGAAGTATTTGTATTCTTCCCACTTCTTCTATTTCTTCTACGTGAAATCCGGTGCAACCAATGATCAACTAATAAGTAAACCGAGTCCATCAGTGTGTAACTTAATCTCAGTGTAAATTCAACTGTTCCTGAAGGTGTTGGAGAACAAACAGAACCTTGAATACCAAGGCATACAGCAGAGAGATCAGTGATAATGCTGTGGAGAGGTTTTAATGATAAAATAATATCTCAAGCATGAAGCATCTTCTGGAACTCTGTTCAGTCCTGAGAAAATGGAGAGCCGATACAACTAATCAAACAAGATATGATCATCTACATTAACTGACCACACAGAAAGTGAGAATTATAGACAGAAGAGAAAAAGGTTGATACTAACTCTGGAGGAGCTTCAGAGATCCATCAGGACCTTAAGCTCCAAAGATTTGACCTTAATGGAGGAGTGAGGCCAATATTTCTCTTTAAGAAAGCATGCACTGCATGCAAAAAAATTTAATCTAAATAAGTAATTTTTTCTTACAATAAGTGCATTTTTTCTTGAATTGCGGAGGTAAGAGTGACACCTTTCCAATGGAACAAGACAATTTAGAAAAAAAAACAAAAAACAGTTGTATTGTCTTATTTCAAGTGCATTCCATTCCCTTTTCTTTCGCTTTCCCCGGGGGCTGGGCCGCGGAGGCAGCAGTCAAAGCAGAGATGCCCAGACTTCCTGATCCACACACCCCTCCTCCAGCTGCTCTGGGGGGACCCCGAGGCGTGTCCTGGGCCTTCCACTAGGTCTCCTCTCAATAGGACATGCCTGGAACACCTCCAGAGGGAGGCGACTAGGAAGCATCTGGAACAGATGCCGGAGTCACCTCAGCTGACTCCTTTCGACGTGGAGGAGCAACGACTCTACCCTGAGCTCCTCCCGGGTAACTGAGCTCCTCACCCAATCTCGAAGGGTGCGTCCAGCCGCCCTGTGAAGGAAACAGATTTTGGCCACTTTTATTCGCAATCTTGTCCTTTCGGTCATTACCTAGATATCATGACCATGGGTGAGGGTGGGAGCGTAGACCGACCGGTAAATCGAGAGCTTTGCCCCCCGACCTGCCGGTACCTCACAGCTGAATCTGGAGTTCCATTGGCTAACAAGGCCAGGTAGGCCTCCTTCTTCAGCATCCCTTACTTCCGGGCGTCACCACCAGGTTCGGGGGTTGCCGCCACGACAGGCACCAGCGACCTTACGGCCACAGCTACGAATGGCCGCATCGACAATGAAGGAGAAGAACATGGACCACTCCAACTCCATTTATTTCAAGTGCATATTATTGGATTATCTAAGAGTAACAATACTCATTCCTTTGGAAAATATACTTACCCGGTAATTAATTGTAAATAGATGTAATATAAGTAATTTTTACTTATTTCTAGATCGTTTTTGCAGTGTGCAGCTCTGGTCTGCTGATACTACTACTGACCTACATGCAAAACATTCTGAGTTGTGTAAAACCTGTTAAAGTCTGTAAAAGGATAGAGACTTGGGTATAGGTTCATTTTCTAGCAAAGACTCTAAATAAGATGTAACCTCAATCTTAGTTTGGAAAGTCACTAATTTTCTATTCTATACTTATAGTTATATATATAGAATGACAGGCTATAATGTGTGATAGATTATCTTTTCTTGCATACTTTGGCAATGCATATACAGTATCAGTGTTTACATTTCCCAAATATTTTCCTCACAGCATTTTTTGTTTCCCTCTAGGGTCCCAGTGCCTTACTCCTGTGCCCATAGTCCATCCAATCTTTACCCTAAACCAGCCACCAAATCACAAAACAACTCTAGTCAGCAATGCTCTCCTAAAGTGGACATAATGTTCATGAAGACCCACAAAACGGCCAGCAGCACCTTCCTCAACATCCTGTTCCGTTTTGGAGAGAAACACCGTCTTCAATTTGCTTTTCCTGACAGCAGAAATGATTTCTTCTATCCGTCCTTTTTCCAGCGCTCTCAGGTCAAAGACTACAAACCTGGAATGTGCTTCAACATAATCTGTAATCATATGCGGTTCAATGCTGCAGAAATAGAAAAGCTACTTCCTTTAGACACAACCTACATCACCATTCTGAGGGACCCGGCAGAACTATTTGAATCATCTTTCCACTATTTTGGCCGGCTGGCGCCTTTTACCTGGAAGATACCTGGTGACGACAAGCTCAAGGAGTTCCTGCTTGACCCACACAGCTACTTTGACCCAGAGGGCTACAATTCCTTCTATCTCAAGAACCTGCTGTTTTTTGACTTTGGCCAGGACAACACTCTGGAGCCTGAGGATCCACGGGTAGAAGAAGGAATCAGATTAATCTCTGAGCGTTTCCATCTGGTCATGTTGGTGGAACACTTTGAGGAATCATTAATCCTGCTCAAAGATGCTCTCTGCTGGGACATGGATGACTTGCTCTTCTTCAAGCTCAATGCCCGTAAGGGATCCACTGTGTCAAAACTTACACCTGAGTTGAGGGCCAGGGCACTTAAGTGGAATGCCATTGACTGGAAGCTATACCAGCACTTCAACCAAACTTTTTGGAAGAGGGTAGATGCTTATGGACGGCTGCGTATGGCCAAGGATGTGGCAGAACTTCGAAGAAGAAACAGAGAAATGGCATCAATCTGCATTGAGGGAGGCCATGCAGTGGATGCCAGCAGCATCCAGGAGACAGACATGCAGCCCTGGCAACCAATCGGGGAGAAATCTATCATGGGCTATAACCTTAAGAAGAATGTGGACAAAGCCCATCAAAAGCTGTGCCGTAAGATGTTGACGCCGGAGCTTCAGTATCTAACAGAACTGGGGGTAAACTTGTGGATCACTAAGCTGTGGGGCCATGTTCGGGATATCATTAATTGGTGACAAGGCGTGTATGATGAGGTGGTGAATAGACCATCAAAAGAAGATGAAAAACATCAGAGCGTGGTTGATAGATGGCTGAAGGGCAGTGCTTTTATAAAAGTTTTGATGTCTCAATGTACAAGTTGATGAACTTTTTTGGTAGAATTGGTAAAACTGGTCAGTTTTGAAAAAGCAACCATTTTCCGTTTCTATCTGTGAGTTGATGGGCTCACAATAAAGTCAGAGATCTCACTGATTAAATCATATTGTTGCCATACCAACCAAATCTTTAAGACAAAGATCTGTATGTAAAATGAATTTATTTATCCCAACTTCACTTCTTTATTGAAAAGTTTTACTTTTATGAAATAATTCTGACTGCAGGTTGAAAATATGAGGTGAAAACACTGAAGGTAAACATACTAGTATTACAGTAAAACAGAAAAAAATTCAAACTAAGATATTCTTGATGAAATTGTACCTGATGGTAATATTAATGGTTAAATGTCTTTAAAGTTTTTTTCAAGGACTTTAAAACCAAGGTTATTATTTAATTAATGGTATGAAAAAAAGCTCTATGCAATCACAGGAAAAATGTTTGTTATCGCTTATGGTATTTTTTGGTAATGATAATTGATATTGATATTATCTTATGACTTCTGTATATATATATATATATATATATATATATATATATATATATATATATATATATATATATATATATATATAAGCATTGTTTTTGTTGTGCTTCAATAGTGCATAACAGTGTTAAAAACTTTTTTACGTTTACTACATTATTGATTATATACTGCCTTGTTGTCATATCCTGCATTTGTGAAAGGAGATCTACAAAAAAAAAATTATGTAAATTTTTTTACCACTCTGCAAAACCTTGTTTCTCTATATTTACATATATATTTGTTTTATGATAATCCCACTGTGTGGTGTTTTTTTTCTTCTTTTTTCAGTATTTATTAAAGGACTTATTTGTTCATTAATTTATGTGTAACCTGATTCTCCTACAGTTCTCCTACAACAAATAATATCCATCCATCCATCCATCCATCCATCCATCCATCCATCCATCCATCCATCCATCCATCCATCCATCCATCCATCCATCCANATCCATCCATCCATCCATCCATCCATCCATCCATCCATCCATCCATCCATCCATCCATCCATCCATCCATCCATCCATCCATCCATCCATCAGCTACAGCTCAGGGTCAGTCAGGGCTGATGCTTATCTCCAGGAGACTTTGGGTAAAAAGTAGGGTACATCCTGGACAGGTCACCACATCGTCGCATGGCAACATAGAGACACAACACCATGCACACATAAACACACACCTAAGGGAATTTGGAGTCAAGATAAGTTAATAGTGATGATTTTATGCTGTGGGAGGATGCTGGAGTACCCAGAGAAAACCCATGCATGAAAGACCTCAGACTAAGGATCATAGCAGGACCTTCTTATTGCACAGCAACAGTGCAACAAACTTCAGCACTGTGGATTATAAATAATATCCAAGAAGATTTTTTTGTTGTGAAGAAAATATGTGAGGAAAAAAAAAAACTAAGTTTAAATTTACATACTTTGATTTTTGTTCACTATACTCGCTGCTGTAAGACTGTCTTGCAATTATAACTTCCAACAGCATTCAAAATACAATGAAGGATCAAATCAACATTAAATCAGAGTAAAGTTTCCTATTTTTAACTATCTCAATTACCGTATTAAAATCATTATTTCTACTTATTGATAAAAGAGAAAACTTTTTCACTTTTTTTGATGCTGTACCATTCTTTTTTTTTTTCTTTTTATTTCTGCCAGACTTTCACAGTGATCCTTTTTTTCTACTAGGCTTTGACAGTGCAAAACAAAGTTAAACATCACTCCATTTATGAAAATATGCCACCTTGCTGGTACAACCTGCATTGCCAAACAGAAATCAACAGCAAAAAGTCATTTATATATTTTTTATTACCCTACAGCAATGTAATATAATGTATTGATTTACTTTTCTTGTGGTCTTCATTATTCATTCAAGGACTTATTTCTTCCTTTATTTATTTCCTATTGAATGGTTTCCTCATGTCTCTAATGTATTTCTTTTATTTCTCCAGATTGATATACTAACTATTTACTAATATTATGTCTTCTCTACTGATATTAAGTCTTCTCAGAGAGCTACTATCCTAGCCTAAAATTCCTGCCAAGGAGTCCTAGATAATCCTATAGTGTTTTAGATAGTTGCTAAGAGCTGCTAAAGACTTGGCAGAATTTCTTATCTAAGTGAGGAGGTGTAGTTGTTGACGTAGTTAGGTGTTATTCTATCTTATCTGATAGAGAGATTGATACAGGAAACAAACATCATCATAATGTTTAAACTTTTATATCATCATTATTTTAATATGGTTGTTGCAATCTGTTGTTTGTGCTGTCCATTTTACCGCCTCATCTGTTTTAGAGTTAATGTTGGCTCACCTGTCACCATTTAACTGTTGTTGACTGCTATCCTAACATTGTTTGAGTTGGCAACTAGAAGAGAAGCAATGCCTTTAAGGCATGTTTCAGGGCATATGTGTTTTTTCCTCTGCTTTTATGCACCTGTTTGGAAAGAGCATTATGCACCTTAATCAAAAGTAAGAGAGGAGATGGCATGATACAAGCAAATGACCATTCAGGTTATGGATACTGATATGTTCATGTGTAGCATCATATCTCACCTCTCTTATGCCTTCCCACTGCAGAGTGTGTATTATTGCATTTTTGGGTTTTGTTTTCACCATTTTGATAATTTCTTGCATTTTTCCCAGAAATGGGTCAGCTTGGCACACAATTCTTTTAGTTGTTTTTTTTTTAATAGTTTTTATGGCACTAGTGGCAACTTTTTTTTTTTTTTTGGACAGTAGGCTGACAGGACAGGGGGTATGAAAGAGGGGAAAACATGCAGCAAAGGACCACGATTCAGATTCAAAACTGGGTCGGCCTTGTCGAGGACTAAGGTCTCCAGACATGGGTCGTGTGCTCTAACCATCATGTTGGAAAGTAAGCGGATTGTTAGAAATATTTGGGTATTTTGTCAGTTTCATCAAAGCCAAAGCATACATAAAAACATTAAGGTCTTAACTGCAATAAAAAAAAAATGATTTCTGGCTTTTTATGGTTATTTTAGAATGAATGATTCTTTTCTTTAAATGGCATCTCAACAGTTTATAGGATTAACCAGACTAGAGAATGTCCGTAATTCTTTTATTGAATTTTTTGGCTGATTTTTTTAGGTTTTCCCAAGATTTTACATCAAGAAACAGCATGTCTGAGATGTTGCCGTAAGATCTGTGTGCTTTGGGTTAACTCAAATGCTGTTAATTGACCTTTCAGATGTTTGCAAAGTCATTAAATCATTATTTGGACAATCACAACAAATTAGGTTATATTTAAATGCCATATGTAAACTTCCGAATTTTGCAAAGGCAAATTTTGTGATTTATGCAGTAAATGTACATAATATGGAAAACGTTTGGGTTTTACTTTGAAGTACATTGAAGTAGCAGCTGCTCTACACTTTGACTGGAGTATTTATGATTGTGTTTCCCTATAATTTTGGAGCCAGCAGGCAAAAAAGCAGATTGATCATGTTTAGAGGAGATGACATATACCACACTGCCTTTGACCTTTTCATTTAGCCAGCCACGCCTTCAGCTGTCAACTTTGCTTTTTCTTTCTCCTGTTTAGCTTTGTTAGGGAGGTAAATTACCTTTATTTGTTTTAGTTATTTTGAAAAGGTAAGTCTGACCAATAGTTTAAATAGTTTCCGTTTGTCTGTTGTTTTTACATGAGTTCAGCATAAGGTTATACTGAGATTTTTCTGAGCATCAAAGTCCGAAGGGGGAAAAAAAGTCATTTAAAGTCATTTAACAAAACCAGCAGGTCCAGTTTACATGAAATTATATCCAGTCTGCTGCTGGCTAAATTCATCAGCATCACTGTAGTTCTTTTCAGGGCAATTTAGATTTTGATTCATATTACAAACAGAATCATTGCATTTATTTGATTATAAATATCTGCAAAAACATGAACTAATAAAAAGGTAATAAAGAAAAACTAATAATAAAATATAAATTTTATCAATTCACATTTGAAATGGAGCAAAAAAGGTTTACATGCGTGAAATATTCAGTTACACATTTTTGTTCCACACTTAAATATGACTCAAGAGCGACGAGATATAGTTAACATAAATTCCCATACTTTAGAGGTACACAACTGCATAAACACATGTGTTTTAGCAGTCTTATATGCCACTCCCAAAAATGATTACTTTCAGATCTCTATGATAAAGAAAATCAAATAAAAAGAAGCTCTGGCAGCAACCAGCAGGTTAAATGGTTACAAAAGCAACCTATCACCCTCTGAGCTAAAAAAAAACCCCATCAACAACAGATAAGATATGAAAGCCTGGAATACAGATTTGACCTTTAAGGACTCTAAACCTCACTGTGGAAAAAAAGCAATCATCTTAAGAGTGCTTGCTATTTATTTGTTACCAATTATTTGGCAGAAAAACACAAGACTGTTATTGTTTTTCTTTCTCTAGATGCTTTTTATTTTTATGATTTTTCTTCAGTGTGAATATCTGGTGGTTAAGGACCTCTGGATCAAAATAATCAGTAATCCTGGTGAAGTAAATATAACTCCTCTCCACCCTTTGGTTCCTGTTGATCATTTATTAGATGATGATTCACAGCTATCTCTGATGGAAAAAGATGGACGGAAAGTCTGACTGCAGAGAGTTAAATTATATTTCAAAGGTGGCGGCCTCCTTATGACATATACTTTAATCTCTCGCTTGGTTGCACACCTGAAACTGTCACACACAATTATTAATAATGCAAATTAATAATTTGCATCCTTTGAATTTATTGAAGATGGAATGGTGAATGATTAATATTGCAAATTAATAATTTGCATTATTAATCATTCACCATTGGATCTTCAATGGACGGCTAAATTTAAAAGACTATTTTCTAATTAGGATTACAATCAGTCTGGTTTATTGGGATAATGACCACCGGAGACAAGATTTTCAGCTTAAAAAGGAAAGTTTTCCAGGGTTGTTATTCAAATTTTAAGCAAAGACCTGTTATGTTAACCCTTTATAGGGCAAGTTACCATTTTTTATTTTTGCATACCCCTTACAAATGTTGTCCCCCCGTTCCTCAGTGAGGTCTAGAAGCACAAAATCTATATCCAGCCATTCAGCAAAGATACTGCGACATGGCTTTACATCTTATTTTGGCATTTGACCAATTAGATGATATATTACCTACTGTAAATTAAAAAGAAAAAAAGGAAAAAAGGTAAAGAGCTAATTGAAAAGTTAAAAAGTTAATAAACCTAGTTAACAATTAGATTTAGGTTTCTAAACTAAAAAATGGTCAGTATCAGCATTAATGCCTCTAAGGTAATGTTGTACCAAAGAAAATGTGTTTCTTTTACTCCCAGAGTGTTTTTCATAAATTTCTTATAGAAGCACTTTTGTTATTTTTCTTAATATAATCGGGAAAATGGTCATTTCTTGTTAAAAATTTACATAAATTTTTGCCATCAAAATATCCACA